ATTATTATTTCGGTACGTTGTTATTGGCGAGAAAAGTACACGGCCGATTCTCTTTGTTGTTTGAAACGAGAAGTTTGAAGAGTCTACTAATTAAAAAAAAAAAAAAAAAAAAGCGTTCTCTCAAATGCGCGCGTGCGCGCGCGATACGAGAAAAGAGAGAGAATACTCGCGCGTCATATCAAAATTCCAAGCCTTAGCCGAGGGGATCCGAGAGAAAGGACACGCACCACTCGCGGAGATATATCCTGTATTTACGATTCTCGTTTTTTCTTCCCGAACGAACAAATCTGCAGTTATCTCCTTCCTCTCATCGTCTCGTTGTTGTAAAAAGACGTTATTGCAAGAAAAAAAAGCTAGTAACGCAATATATAGCGATGGTCGATTTTTAGCGGATTGACGTTTTCCGGATTTGTGCGTTACGAATTGACAATAGATCCTGCTACATCCATGCAGTTAAGACAGGAAATTGTATTACTTAGGTAAAAAGGAAAAAAATACACATATTTCGATTACATAAGTGAACACGTACGCGTACGTATTTTATATTTTCAATCGGATACGTTGAGAATTGCGTTCCCCTTCATTTTATTCGCGCGCCAACCGAAAGGAAATTGGTGCTCATGCGAAAAGAAAAGAAGAAAAAATCAATCTCTCTTGTGAATATTTTTTTATTATTGCGCTCGCGTACATGGACATTATCTGTTTTTTTCTCCGGAGACGTGGTAGTTTCGCGTCTACTTTCTGTATCTCAGTACGTCTTACGAAATTATAATTTGATCTTATTTGTTTCTCTTCTTTTATGAACATGTATGTCAGTCACATCGTGTAAAAACAAGAAACAAAAAGCAACGAAAAGTCGCAACACACTCGACATAAACGCGAAACATGTCAAATTTCGTTCGCGAACACAAGCAGATTATATCGAATGTTGAATTGTTTCAAATCACGTCGTATTAGGAAAATTGTATAACAACGGAACATGCTTGGCAACGGGTGCTTCCCCGCATTCACGTAACGAAGAGCGATATATTTCTTGTGAAAAATTGGAAGTGCTGTTTTTTCTGTATATCTGTGAAAAACTAACTGGGTTCTGTGATTTTGCGCGAGTTTCGAGGATTAACGAAATTCCACATCTTCAATTTGAAAAATAATTCGATCAAAATCGACAGATTGTTGTATTGGTTTTCGAGATCTTTGTTTTTTTACTGTGTTCACCAAACTAAATTGCTTTTGATTCAATTGTTAATGTTACGTCTCATCGCGTTACCCGAGGAAAAAAGAAGCTTGTTTGATTTTTGACGACGTATATCCCATGCACGCGCTCGCGTTATTATATACTGCGTATAGATTTTCAAATTTCGCTACTTGTTGATCAACGATATCGTAATTAACGATAATTCTCGCATCGTGTTCGCGATGTACATCGAAGAAAGTCGCAGCTTTACACGCGGTTCATGCGTAATATTCGTAAATAACAATTGTAACTCACGATACATATAAACATATATATATATATATATATATATATATATATATATATATATATATATATATATGTATATATATATATATATATATATTAAACGAAGGGCCATTTTAATCTAATCCACACGCTCTCTATAGGGAAAGAGATGTGATCCGATATATCTCTCGCGACTACTATTTTGAATACTACTTCCCCCTCTCTACGAGAAAACGCAAACGAAATCCGCTTTTATTTTTTGTTTATTTTTTTTTATTTTCTCTTTCGCCGGTGGTGATTTGTAGACCCTGAGGGAGAACGCAGGTCACAGGTGGTACACAACGTAACCCGTAGTGAACGTTTAATTTTTGAAGGAGAGAAAATTTAAGCGGAAACCATAGAAATTTATACCGGCGACAGGAATGTGTAATATTCTTTGTGTGTGTAATTGTAAAATGTAAACGTTAAACACCAGCCAAGATTCACGCAATATGCATCCTTCCCATTCCCCGCCTTTCCTTCCCCCCCCCCCCGTCCTCCACTTTTAATGTTCACGTACGAAGATTGGAAAGAAACAAAATGTATAAAGCTATATTGTAGTATATATTATAAAGAAACGAATATGTATGTGATTTTTATTCCTGTGACTTTGTAAACTTTACAAACGAAATCTTTTTTCCTGAGACACCTCTCGTCGACACGCGTTTCTGCTCAATATTTTTTTTTTTTTTTTTTTGCTAGCGATCGCTGCTTGAATTTCTTCGGAAAACAATTACGTTCGAAATGTGTGTAATAACATTCAAAATTATTTTTGCAAGCAAAACTGTGTTTTTTGCATAATTATATAATTAATTGAGAATAAGACGAATTTTAAAGGAAACGGGATTAGAACTTGAAATTCTACACAAAGTCCAGCTGTAAATATTCTCCTGTGAGAAGATCAGTTCTTGGACGTATCTACGTCTAAGATTTTTTGTGTTCACAGCAATTTCCATAGAGTTTCTCCCACCAATGACAATATCAAATCTAGAAAAAAAAATTAATTTAATAAGATATACAAAAGTAGAAGACCAGTTTAGTGGTCTCGCGGCCTGAGTGCAGAGGCTGCAAACCCGGAGATCCCGAGTTTATATCTACTCACCACCTAAGGATTTTTTTTCGGGTCGGTCTCCTTCAACCGAGTTTAGTACGGTTGATCGGCGAACTAAATCGGGCCTCCAAAAATTAATTCGGGTGTAATCCCGAATTAACCGGTTTGAAGGTTCGCGGCCTAGATGTCGGGTCTGCGAGTAGAGAGGTCCCGAGTTTGAATCCTCATTTTCGGATTTTTCTGGCCGGTCCTTTCAGTCATACAAATTTATCGACTGAAATGCGAACTGAACGGAGCCTCAAATCAGTTTACTGATACACCTTCAAGTATACAAAATTCAAAAGTTGCTTTTTACGAACCTTATATAAAATAATTTTTACAGTATAAAATTTAGATACAAAGAAGATATATATATAATTGTATACATACATAGTAATTAATTTTATTTATAAAAATAATGAAATTGGTGAAGACGCAGATTCGTCGTATATGTAGAGAAAATTAAAAACGTAACTAAAGTCACGTGACAGGAAAGAGTAGAAAAACAACACGTAAAAATAACGTGACTGTAATTTATATTCTATATAACATTAAATAATACATATTATAAATATAATTTATTATATATTTATAATATTATACTTTATATTATATTATATGTATTATATACATACTACAGTAATGTCACTGACCTCCGCCGCGCGGCCTTGGCGGGGTCACTGACCTCGGCCGCGCGACCGCGTCGGTGTTACTGACTTCGGTCACGTGATTACGGTATATATATATATATATATATATATATATATATATGTATACATAAATGCGTATGTGTGTATTATATATAGATATAGAATATTACATATAATATATAATATAACATTATATTCTTTTTTTTACCCTTTTTTCCCTGTCACGTGTTGTTTTTCCACTTCTCTCTCTCACTATTTTTTGAGTTTGATTTTCATGCGTTATTTCTGACATTTCTCATATGTGTATTATATGGTTTATAAGACGTACATACTATCTGTCATTGCGGTGACAGGTTGTGTTCACTGACAACACGTTAAATAAAAATAACAATAGCGTGCGCGTAGCGCGCGCCTGTGTTGTGCTAGTATATATAAAATAGACACATTAGTTGCATATTTAAGTCCGATTATGTCACAAGTGGGGATTATTCAGTATGCTAACTACCACGCAATACACGGCCGTCTTTCCATAGTGGGCGTTTGCCTATCTGTGTTGGGTTCGTATTTCGACTCAACATAGTCTTTGTGGAAGAGGATTTTAATTCGAGATTTCACTTGAATTAATTATGAAGGCCCGATTTAGTTCGTCAATCAATCCATTAACTCGATTGAAAGTGACCGGCCCGGAAAAAATCCTATCACAAAGTGATAAGCGGATTCAAACCCAGACCTCTATTGTTCGTAGCCCTTGCACTCAAGCCACAAGACCAATAAGCCTGTCTTCATATATAAGTAACCCTCGTATATTATTCGGATATTTCACAGAAATGCCGCGTTATATAAAAAGTCGTGTTATACAAAGTTCGCATAAGCGCGCATATTGAAAAAACGGAGTTAGACTTTATTTTTCTCTTTATTTTTCAATTTTTGTAAACCGCGTTATATCAATTTCGCTTTAGTGTACACCTTTCACAAAGTTCAGTCCTCAAATATTGGAAAAACCTTATAGATAGAATGATGTTTGCGTGCACACAATGATATTTTCAAACGTAGCTCTGGAAAAGCACTTTCTGCGATGCTCGCAACTTGTTATATACAGACATTTCAGATTGAAAAGCACGTGTCAATCACATTCAATCTTCAGAAAATGATTGTCGACGCCACCTACGGCCACCATTGTGATTTTTGTATATTAAACAAAGTGGTGAGAATGTGTTTAAATATACCTGCACATACGCAAAAAGAGATAATTATATATATTACAACAAATTAAAACGTTTCTGAGAGTAATTAAATTTAACTACATTCTTATTACACAAAATTACATAGAAAAAATAGTTATACAACAAAATTACTTCATACATTAAGTAAAAGAAATTTGTATACATTATCTATCTCTATGATGTTAAATTTTCAAATTAAAGCAAAAAAGTGTTAAGTACATACGTTACTCATATACTTTTATAAAACAAGTTTACTCTTTCACTCTCTTATTTTTTTCTAACAAAATGTATCTTATATAGAACTCTGGAAACGTTGTCACTATATAAAAAACTTTCTCTACAAAAACTATCTTACAAAGGAAATAAAAAAGTGACACAAAGTGAAATTTTATACAATTGTTACACTTCTATAAGATATGAAAGTAAACAACAAATTAATTTTGAATGTTGCATGCACATATTACGGTACAAATTGTATAAATTAAATCTTATCTTACACATTTAAATAATATTTAAGGAATAATAAATAACACATATTCATTTTGAGACTACTTGTGCATCTTTATTTTGACGATCCAGAAACTTCTAAACCTGGTTTCTATTGACTGGACATACTGGACACAATATAAATCTGTCTCACGTTGTAGATACTTTAAATAATGTAACTTTAACTTATACAAACTTCGAGCTAGTAACATTACATTTTTGTAAATCTAAAATCTCATATTTTAGTGTTTTACTTCTTAGATTTGGCAAAGTTTTTGAAATTAGGTACGAAGTACATGGGCCATACTAGTATAGATGAACCAAAGAGCAGGAGAGATCCTGCTAATTCCTAAAACATAAAAAACAATTTATTCAAATACAAAGCTTAAAAGCAACATCTGTAAGTCACTTAATCGTTAGATGCGTAATCGCAAGAGATCGTTGTGAACAAGTTATAAAGCACGACAGGCACATATACGCAATGTAACACGAAAACTTCGAGGAAAAACCTCGATTCTCGTGGTTTTACGTTCGAAACAAGGTTAACTGTGTGCCGCAACTCCTCTCTCTCTTACGTAATTGCACACAAAAATCAAAATGCACTTACCAGGGTAGAAATTCTTACTTCAGGCGGAGCGCTGACAATTGAGTTGTGATACGACCTGCTGACAATTCCCGATAAACGGGACGCATTTCTCAAACCGTTCGCAAACATCTTTCTCTAAATCGCCGAGAAAACTGCGCAAATCGCAATGTCAATTGACGTCAGTGACTTACGCGAAACAGGTGAAAAACATGTATACCATCGTAGAAAAGCACATTCCCGAGTATTTTAACTCAGATTTACATGAATCAAGTGTTCCAGATTCAGATTTATGTTGGCAACGGTGTATACGCTATAGGGTAAGTTTCACTTGCCGTTCTCAACGCTCAGGGAATTATTTCATGGTTCTATTTTGACACGTCACGTGACAAGGAAAAAAGGAAAAACAACACGTGACTTAAGTCACGGCAGGTGACTTTTGTCACATGTCTTCTTGACTGCGTTCCGATATCAACTGCCAGTACTAAAAATCTATAGCACTTGTGACGTGAAGTATAGATTTTTAATACTGAAGCGGTTGCTCGCCAACAAGCGCCGAATCGTACGGCTTGCTTGCTCTCCGATCTCCGCGCCAACTCTTCAAATTTCTGACGCGCTGGGTACATATTATTGATAATGATATTGATAATGATACAGATTATTGATAATGATATTATTGATAGGTTAAACATCTCAAGATCTCCAGTATGCTCAACTTGTATATTTCTCGTGTTTTTCTTAAAATAATATGTACATTTCTATGTAAAAAAACGCAATATGCAAAATCTTTATTGTTTACTCTCGCGAGCAAAGATTTTAGATTTATCCAAGTGACGATTGCGTGGATGATACTTGAGTCACAACTGGTTTATCAGGTTGGAAAGTATTAGTCTCCTGTGGTTGCGCGAAACATATACGATACACATCTTCGAATTTTGTGACAAAATGCACTTCTAGGCCTTCCGTGATGTACTTAGGTAAGTCGTTGAAATCATTCTCATTTTCCTCCGGCAATATTATACACTTGACGTTGACTCGTTTTGCCTAAAAATTACAAAATCATTATTATAATATAAAGCACCTTACTTAAACTATAAAAAAATTAACAGTATATTCATATTAATAAAAAATTATGGTAAAACTCACGGCAATAGTTTTCTCTTTGATACCACCGACAGGGAGAACTTTGCCTGTCAGACTTAGCTCTCCTGTCATCGCCACATCTTGTCTGATAGCTTGATTTTTCGCAAGGGACAGTAACGTCGTGGCAATAGTTACACCTGCGCTAGGTCCGTCTTTTGGCGTGGCTCCTTCGGGTACATGTATGTGCAAATGGGAATCATACAAAAATGTATTCCACGGATCTTCTTTTTTAAGATGATTTCTTGCCACCGTCATCGCGATATGTATCGACTCCTTCATCACGTCGCCCAGATGACCGGTCACCTCGAAAGTGCCTTCACCACTTTTTCCGGATGGCTTCTTGATGGTGCACTCTATAAACAGAGTCGACCCACCCATGGCGGTCCATGCCAGTCCCATTACTACACCCACTGGAGTGATGTCATACATTCTGTCCTGCCTGAAAATGGGTTTGCCAACAAATTCCTGTAGATTACTCGGGGTGACATCGATCCGATCAGCTTCCTTATTGACGATCTTTAACGCTATCTTTCTGTGCACTTTTTCTATGTATTTCTGCAAACTTCTCACTCCGGATTCGCGACAGTAAGACTTGATCAATGTCGTGAGCGCGGTGTCCTGTATATCAATTTGATCGTTGCTGAGACCAGATTCTGTGCGGGCTTGTGGAACCAAATATTGTTTCGCGATCATAAGTTTTTCCTCGGCCACATAACCCGACATATCAATCAACTCCATACGATCTCTCAGCGGTGGTGGAATGGTGTCGATCACATTGGCCGTGCAAATGAATAATACCTTTGACAAATCCACTGGTACGTCTAGATAATGGTCTAAGAAATTGGAATTTTGCTCGGGATCGAGCATTTCAAGGAGAGCAGATGCTGGATCTCCGTGATGACTCCTAAAAAAAAACGTAATTATGTTACATTCTTTTAGATATTCTTTCAGATTTATACGTTTTATACAAATATACAAGAAATCAGATTACGTACTTGCCAATTTTGTCAACTTCATCTATGAGTATCAAGGGATTTTCGGTTTTCGTCTTCTTCAAGCACTGAATGGCTTTACCTGGCATAGCTCCTATGTACGTTCTTCGATGTCCTTTAATTTCAGCCACATCCGTCATTCCACCAACGCTGAATCTGAAATATTCTCGGTTCAAAGCACGTGAAATCGACTTAGCTATAGAAGTCTTGCCGACTCCGGGAGGTCCGTGCAAACATAATATTTTTCCTTGTGTGCTACCTTTCAGTTGACTCACAGCAATGAATTCTAAAATTACGATGATATATATTTTTAGCGTATACAAATGTGATTTAAATATTATCTCACTGTCCATAAGAATTACAGATGCACATTTTACCAAGAATTCTTTTTTTCACATCTTCCATTCCGTAATGATCTTCGTCTAAAATTCTGACAGCATCCTGAACATTCAAGTTCTCCTTACTCGTTACACCCCACGGCATGGATGTCAGCCAGTCTAAATAGTTTCTCGTGACGCTAAGTAATACAAAATTTTACGATAAATTATTCCATACACAATTTTTGTGCTACAACAAATGCAAATATGTAATACGCACTTAAACTCGCTACTGTGACCCTCTAAAAAGGACAGTTTAGCTAACTCCTCTTCTATCACATCCATCACTGATTTAGGTACCATTTTCTTCCTTATTCTTTCTCTATATTTTTCTTCTATCGCATCCTTGTCATCCTTCTCCAATCCTAATTCCTTCTTGATAGCTTTCAATTGTTCATGAAGAATATATTTTCTATGTTGTTGCTTTACTTTTTCCTCGACCTCCTTTCCTATTTTCTGTTGCAGCTTGCTCAATTCATATTCTTTTTTCAACAGAGCTAAAGTCAATCTCAATCTCTTCAGAATCTACGTAAATAAAAAAATCTTTAATATAATTTTATTTCAAATACAAAAGCTTTCTGCACATGTATAATAATTATATACAACTTACATCCATTTCTTCTAGAACTTCTTGTAATTCTTGCGCTTCTGCTCCAGTTAAAGCTGCACCTAAATCACTGAGGTATACCGGATTGTCTACAACTCTTTGTCCTTGGTGCAGCATTTGTTGGAGAGATTCACGATACAGAGGATTCATACTTATTATATCACGTATTGTTTTAATAAGTTCTTGAGTTAAAGCCTGTTTAGAAAATAAGTTTCACAGTTTCTATTTTATGTCATATAGATATTACATAGTAATATCTACATGTTTTTTTATGTTTTAAAACTAGTTTCAAACCTTGATTTCTTCTGTTTGTTTGTATTTGTCATGTGTCACGTTTACAACTTCCACCATTAATACAGGTTGTCTATTAGGTTGAGATGATGAAGCATCCACTGGCTTATATGTTTGTTCAGAAACATCCGGCAAAGGTTTCACTTCCGTAGGGTTTGCTTCTTCATCGACTTTTTCTGCTTTCTCACTTTTTTCTGGAACTTTATTTTCTGTTTTCTTACGCAATGATCTCCTGTTCTTGCCTCTGGTTATTGTGTCGTCTACAGGAACGGTAATTGTAGTATTTAATAGCGGAAACGTCAGTTTCATCTCTGCGTAAGGTAGAGCAGTATGTAAACGGAACAATGAGAAAAATAGCAATATGTCCTCACATAAAAAAAAGACAAAAAAAAAAATACATTTCAATCAACAAACATTAGAAATAAAAATAAACATTAGAAATTAAAGATAAAATAAAGCGCGTACTTTTCTTCTAAATGACAAAAAAACAAGAACGTGACATACTTTTCTCCTCATTTTCTGGTTGATAATCTTCAACAATTTGATTGACTATTTTAATTCTCCTGTGTGCCATAATCACTAGCCTCAGTCGATTACCTAAGTCTTGTACTTCATGCACTTGAGCAAAGGTACCAATAGAATAAATATCATCCAGACTCTCAACTACTTCAGATTCATTTCTAAGTATAAATTCAGAAATACACAACATTATTGATCAGTATTTGTAGATATAAAATTTATAAATTATTAGATTTTTTTTCAAAACAAGAATGACATCTGAGAGAACTCACTCTTCCACTTTCTTCAAAAAAACTCCTACATATGGCTGATTAAGCTTGATTTTTCTACGTATCAAATCTATCAAAACTGGATTGGAAATTTCAATGAGCTTGATGAATCGAGGAAATACTGGATTTCTGTTAATTGCAATAACTGGTACATGAGGCCACACTTCTGGTACCACAACTGTTGCTGGCAGAGAACCAGTATATTCTGGAGGTTGATCTCCATTGTCTCCACCACTGAAAAACAACATAAACAGAAAGTGAGAAACAATGTTTTTTTTAGACATCTATGTTAATATCATTTTGCAAAATCTATACCCCAAAACAAAAGCATCAATGTTGTCTATTACATAAGTATAGAAAATTTGAAAAAAATAAATCAAAATTTTAAAAAATATAAGAGGAAAATATAAGCTCATTGCATGTACAAAGAAAGTGAGCAACCTTTGATCAAAAGTTTACCTGGGCGGATGTCTTTTCGAGAAAAATCTTGCCCCGGCTAACACGGGAAAAAACCGGCGTACGTTTGAGTATCTAGCGAGTGGCAATCCCGAATTTCCACCCGAGTATTCCGTGCGTAAAAGCAACGATCTGCAGTTTGGTTCCGGCTGACGAAGCGTAAGCGACCATTTGGAAAAAGAACGCGCAATTACGCCGCGTTGTCGCACAACCGGCAAAACTGTTGTAACAAGTTGCATGATCCTTCAATACCGCGCGAATGGTTATACAAATTCTGTTATTTTCTGTTTCTTGTAGACACGAAAATTGTTGGCGAAGAAAACCGTAGAACAACAGAGTTTACGGATGTGATCTTCCGAAATATCTCACATTATAAGTAATATAACCACCATAATCTCACGTGCGGAGACGTACGACGTACTTCTGAGCGCTTTCTAGCTGATGCCAGTTAGCATGCTCAGCAAGTAGAGGGGATACACAGGCGAACAGCCCGATGCATGCTTATTCGCTGATCTTTGTTAATTAAGATCTCGGTAATTATTGCGAATCTAGCAAATTGCTATAAAACTTTTTGACTCTGTTTTGCTCCTTCTATTTGTTCACGAGAGATGTTACACCAATTCTAGGACACCCTGTATATATACTCACGTTTGAATTTTATAATTAAAAATTGCCGCGTCACGCTGAAAATTCAAGTAGATGACGCTAGCCAAAAAATAACATAACCTACGGATCTTTCAAACCTATGGATCTTTCAAACGTAGAATTTTATAAGAAAGCACAACATGAGTGAATTTAAATTACATCATTTGATAGTGCAATTGCTTGGATTGTTGGAGTAAGTAGAAAAAACAGTAGCATATTTCACTGAAACTATTGTGCAAGATCATGTGAAAGATTATTAAATATGTTCAAGTTTTTGTTCTTGGTGTATCTATATATTTAATGTCAAAGTCAAGGGGGTTTGTTGTTACGCTTGCAGAGTAACAACAAACAAGATAGATGAAAGATCAAAATCGAGCAAATATAAAGTTTGTAAATATATATTAAGCAAAATTTCAAATACATGAAAAGAAAAACGAAACGTTTCTCTAACTTGAGACTTTTTCAGTCGTAATACATTGTAAAACGCAAAACATATAAAGGGAACAAATTATGACCCAAAACATTTTAAAATATAAATAGACTATCATGTCGATGGTGTTAACATGGTGTTTGACCTTTTATCTATATTTAATGCAGTTCACAGTCTCCTCCAGAAATATATTTGGAAAAGATACAAAAAGAAAATGTAGCAGCAAATGGACTCAATGCTGTTGCTCCTCACAGTTGTGTTCAGAATCTCGCAAAAGTATCACCTCAGCCAGAATTATTTATACAGAAGTATGAAGAATTGAAGTCAAAAAAGTTAGTGAGCTAAAATGGAATTAGTGGGATAATGTGTAGTTTGTGATATATACACAAAAAAGTAATTCATCAAATTTTTTTTTCAGAGTAGATTTATTAGGTCCTTTTGTACAGACTTTGGAGTTGATATCTCAGGATGAGAAATTAAAGAATTTTTTATTGAAAACTGTACCTGGACTAACAGCTAGTTCTCTGAAAGATCCAACTATCACACAGGAAGATTTACCTAAGGTAATAAAGTATATCATGTTTGTGAAAATCTTTAAACTTTTTATTATAATTTTTAATTATTTAATAATAAAACATGAACAAACTGTATTAAGAATACAATTTGTATTTGGTTTGTAATAATGTTTTAAATTAAATATTAAAATGTATGATAGATCTGCAAAACTGTAATTAAAGCTGCTGTAGAAGGTGGAAAGAAATTAAACCAGCAGGTTAATAAAAAAACTGATGGTGCCTTAGCCAAACATAATTGGGTAACAGAACGTCCACGTATTACCTGGGATTTTTACAATGATGCCACTGCTGCGCTTTGTCAAAGTGAATAAACAATCTATTGAATACAAAATTGAAACAAATGTATGCTATTCTAAATCAATGAAATTATTGCAGAAGTTGTCCCGGTTATATCTCAGGAATCTATACTTCTTTGGGACATACTTTATTGTTTGAAAGGAATAGATGGAGCATATATTGTCTCAGAACCTTTGACAAGTCCTTATGCTGTTAAAACTTTCGCTATATCACCGGATGTTAGTAAGTAAAATTTAAGCAAATTAAATTTGAATTTTTTTAAAAATAGAAACAAATTTAAAAACATTTTTTTTTTTTCTAGATATATCATTCAAACAATTGTCTCAACAAATATTACCTTTGGCTTCTTATTACTCCATGACAGTTAGATTTGTTGAAGAGAAAATCTCACCCGAAGACGGACAAGTCAATCATGCTCTAAGAGGAGCCATTCGCTCTCTGCTGAAGGATTATTTGGTAAGACATGTTTATTAAAAACTTTCTACACAATTCAAGATATATTTAATAAATGCTTTTTTTAATAATATTTTAGCTTTTTATCGTGCAACTTGAAACAGAACATATTCATGGTAAATTAAGCTTGCAGAAATTGTGGTTTTACATTCAGTCCACTATGCTTACAATGTCTATACTTTCTCAAATCACGTCCACAATATGCAAGGTGAGTGGAATCTGCTGTAAATCAAATAATTATGCGATTTTCTTTAAAAATAAAATCATTTATATAAAGATATTAAACAAATATTAAAGAAGATTTGTTATAGATATTGTAATAGTGAATATTATTCTAGGCAAACGCTAGAGGGGGAAAAGTTTTGAGTCTTCTTCACGAACAAACGCTGAACAATGTCAGTGGTGAAGCAAAATCCAAAGAACTGTGTTTGTACTTGATGCAGGCGGCGAGTATGCCCTACATGCAAATTTTAGAAAAATGGGTTTACAAGGGAGTTATATGCGATCCGTACCAAGAAGTGAGTACCGTTATACGCGCCGATCTTTACACACCCCACATCACATACTCACGTTTATGTATTTATCAGTTTTTCGTAGAAGATAATGAACTGGTTCAAAGGGAGGAACTTCCTGTGGATTATTCCGCTGATTATTGGGAAAAACGTTACACGATGCGACCGGAAAGGATACCTGTGTTTCTAAATGAGCACGCACAAACTATCCTGAGGACAGGAAAATATTTCAATGTGATCAGACAATGTGGTACGTTTTCCTAATAATGTGACATTTGTTATTTCACGAGTATTTATGTAGATTAATTTACTTAAGTATAAAAATACGTATTGAATTTTTATTAGGTAAAACAGTGCAGTGGGTGCGACAAGAGCCGTTGAGCTATCAGTGCCAGGGACAGAAGTACATAGCGGCTATCGATAGAGCGTATTCGGAAGCTGCTAGACAATTGTTGGAGGTGCTGATGAAGGAGAATGATCTAATGGGTAGACTACGCAGTGTAAAGAATTACTTCCTTCTTGCCCAAGGAGATTTTATGGTAAGCTCTGGCATATGTTCGGTTTGAAAGTAATTTTAAGTTACCTGTTACTTAAGAATTTTTGATGATTTTTTGTGTATATTAGAAAAATCTAATCGTAATTTTTTACACATTAGGTTCAATTTATGAATCTGTGCGAGGCCGAGTTGAACAAAAGTATGTATGATATTGTTCTGCATCGTCTGGCGTCTCTTCTCGAAGTCGCTTTGCGAATGTCTACCGCGGATTCGGATCCCTACAAGGACGATCTAAAGCCTGAATTGCTTCCGTACGATTTACAGTATCAAATGTTTCGAATACTTTCCATCCAAACCAGAGACGAGAAAGGTATTTTATCGAAAGTTTTATTCGACTATGTGTATCTGATCAGAGAAAATTAAAACGAGATAATTACGAATTTCTTTCTCAGAGTATTGTCTTCAAGCGGGTAAAATTTTGACCGGTTTGGAAGCTTTCGTCTTCAATTACGACGTCAAATGGCCGATTTCCCTAATCATCAATAGGAAAGCGATAGCTTGTTACCAAATGCTGTTCAGGCATTTATTTTATTGCAAATACGTTGAAAGATTATTGTGCAGGTGAGAACTGCTGCTGTATTTCAAACTATATTGCAATTTCATATATCTCTCAGTCAGAAGTCACGTATTTATTAAATTGTAGAGTGTGGATTAGCAATAAGATAGCAAAAACGTTTACACACGAGGTGGCCATGGCGTACAGGCAAGCATTTTCATTGCGACAAAGAATGCTCGATTGTATACAACACTTGGAATACTATATGATGGTGGAAGTCATAGAACCAAATTGGTTGAAATTTATTAATAAAATGAGCAAGGTAGATTAAAAGTTTATATTGCTTATTGCATTATATGCAAATTGAATGTTTGTATCTTTTTCCTTATCTTTTTTTTTTTCTTCTTTTTCCTTTTTTTTTCTTTCTCTCTCTCTCTTTTTTTTTTTTTTTTTTTGGTCTAATTCATGTTAAATACAATCAGGNTTTTTTTTTTTTTTTTTTTTTGGTCTAATTCATGTTAAATACAATCAGGTCAGTAACGTTGACGACGTGCTCAGCGTGCATCAGGACTTGCAAGACAGTTATTTGAAAGAATGTATGTTGACGGATCCCGATCTACTCAGCTGCATCACAGGCATATGCGCCGTTTGTATAGAATTCTGCAATTTTATGCAGGTAAGAACAATTCTGTCGTTACACATCTACATACAGTTTATCTACTTTGGTGCATGCACGAATTCGGTGCATCCAGTGATCTCTTTGTCTAAGTTGCTGCGACCGATCGTTTCAACTGGATCTGTTATGACGCTTTAGTTTTTATTACATCATACACTTCTAATCTAAATACTAATAACTGTTAAGTCCCATGTTCTTTTCCGCCTTGTGCACGGTAATTTCGAAATTCGTAATTTACATCTTGATGCATACATTTGATCAAAATAAGCGACGATGTAATATGACGGGGAAAAAAATTTAATAAGGGGGATAAGACTTACAAGACTTCGGTCAATTAAATTTTTAATGTTTTTGCCGATGTTAAGCGTATGAGCCGCTACTACATTGATGCCGAATTGACATCCATGATTGGTGCCTGTCAGGAAGATGTCTATGAATATGAGGTATATTGCATAAGCTTTAAGCTCGTCCTCATGCATCCGTAGTCCTAGAATCATGAACGTTCGTTTTGCAGACAAGGCATCTTTTAGAGATCATTACATTTTTATTGTTAAGAACATGTGACTGCTACATACATGCATATGTGTTTACGTTACAATTTGCATGAAAGATATGACTGAATGATCTACAAAAATTAATTTGAATTATATAGAGTTGTTTCTTAAAACTTAAGAGAATATTTTTGGGCAGTTTTATTTCGCATATATTTTTTACGCATGAATATAAAGTTTTAATATACATCTCGTTACAGGATAATTTTGAAGTAAGTAAAGATTCTTATCTAATTTTAAGACGCTTTGACCAAAGATTTTACAACGTCTGTATGATAGGCAATCCACTATGCTTTCATGTATGGTTACTTTATAAACGTGACTTGCGTAACGTCTAAAAACTTGTTGCTCGGTTGTTTTCGTCATTCTGAGATAACTCTGATATTAGTTTCAAAATTATTTTGTATAGAAGATTGTGCGCTTTTAACTTTACAAAATGATTTTATCTTACATATTTCATTACATACAAATGTAAGTTTATACGTGTATGCTAATATAAATCATATACGCAAAAATGTTTAAAGACGAAGTATAAAAATTAAGAGATAAAGATGTAAAATTCAGTATTTGTATGTACAAAGTATTCTATACTTTTCTCGTAGAATATGTCTTTTATATGCACACACATTTCTTTTAAAAATATAGTCTTGGAGAGTTCTTCGTAATTCAAAAAACCAAAACGGTATCTTTGCGCATGCTTCATATAGGATAAAATAAGATTCTTTGTCATCTATTATTTTGCTCGTTTTCCACAAAATATCGATATATTTCATTATATATAGACTTAAACTTTGCATAATTCAAAATTTATTGTAAATATCATGTATCAATTGCTCGAAAGTAAAATTATTTGTCTCGTTTTTTTGAATAGAATTTTAAAATTAAAAGTAAAATTGATCTTTATAGGCATGGCTAGAGAGAGTTGTGAGATGTTTCCATCAACGCAATATTATTTTATTTTATCATCTTTCGGATGAAACCTCATTACAAACGCGTTACATTTTTACTGGTTACTTCTCCGGAATTGCTTCTTAAGTTTAGTGCACGTCATATGTAACGTGCTTGTTTATATAATGTATCAAGCGATTGTCTTCTTTAGAGCGAGAATGCATCGACAACAAAAGATGGGACTGGAAGCTTCGAGGAAACGATTGTATCGCTAGACGAGAAGTTCACTAAGATATTAACACAGCTTTTAGACCGAATCTGTGATTTGGGATGTGATAACAACAATGAGAAACTACTCAACGTATTGTGTCGGTAAGTCTCGCTCGTGTTTGTTCAAGCGATTCGAGTTTATATTTTATAAAATTAAACACAAAAAACGTACCAAAGAAATATGTTACATTAAAAATTCTCTGTGATTTAATATTACATGTTTTTGCGTTTCTGAAAAATATGTGCTTTTGAAATGAACAGGCTTGACTTCAATATGTTCTACACCGAGATATTGGTACGTCGGGAGAAAGAGAAGACTGTCGCCCAGCAGGACGTATCCGGCTAGCACGTCCGCGACGATTTCTTCGTCAAGGTGTAAATTTGTCTGACAATAAGTCGATAACAAATCTTGAAAAGATTTGTACACTCATTTTCTCCCGTGCGTGTCGTTTACGCGCGTACCCACAGGTGACTTCCCAAATTCTTCTTTCAATACATAAGGTATATATTTATTGTGCCATAGTGAAGTATTATACAAAAAGAAAAAACAGCGATATGTGAAAAACAATCGTTACAAACATTTGTTTATGATTAACGACAGTGTAGTACAAAATGTGTGTGAGTAAGAAGGCAATTTTTTAAAGCGCATTGGATATATATTTGTTATACGTTGTAAATCGTGCAACACAGTCTCATATTGTATTTGTATATCATGTAATAACACTTAAATGTATATGTACTATCTCGACTAGGAATGCATAGTTTAATGGCACGCGGCTCCTCACCTAAGCTTAATTTTATGTAATAAAATGTAACATTTGATAGAGCATACTGTGGTATATTGTGTAACACATTTAGTTTTATAACACGTTTTTACAAGTAGTTCTCGGAAGAGAAGAGAAAAAGTTAATCGTATAAAATATCACAGTCTCTTTATAAAATAGTCACATTTCATACGCTTTCATTGCAAGTTTCCCGTCATGTTGTTGTTATTTTCAACCGCGAGTCTCACGTTATTCAAAGCGTTCTCCATCGCCGCCAGCTTCGTCTGCATATTGTTTAACGCCATTATTATCATTTCGTTCTCCGACAGCCGAGTCTTGTTTGAGATAATCCGTTTCGCTTGTTTAATTATGTCGCGATCCATTTTCTTAGTTATGAGGAGATTCGCGGACTCTTTGCGGATATATATATAGTTCTCATGATCAGATTCCGTGTCACAATAGTCAAGACAGTTGTGCAGTTTTTTCGCTAAGAAATTGAAGGGGTTCCAGCGCGAATTCTGGCAGCACAAGATGAACGGCTTTCCGATCGCCATGTCTTCTATGTACGCGAGAAGATGTACCCTGGAGACTTGCACAACCAGCTCGGCTTTGTTCAGGATCTCGGCAGTGTCGCTTACCGCCAGACCGTTGAGTAGATTGAACAGAACAATCGGCAGTAGCACAACGAACAAGATGAACACGATGCGGCTCCAGAAGGGATACGAGACGAATGGAATGTCGCTTGCGTCGAACTCGCCAGAGAACATGATGATGGTCTTGAACAGCGAGAGAGCAAAACTGCCGAAGTGTGTGTCTTCGCCGTCCTTGAAGAGCGTGTAAAATGACAGAGCGAAGGCGATAATGAGGAGCGTGTAGGGAATGAGGAAGCGTGCGAAGTTGAGAGAGACCGTGCGAAACATCTCGATGTTGATGGACATGCGCGGATGGTGACTGATCAGAATCACCAATTCCCAAGTGGAGATCAGGATCGTCACGGCGCCGATTTGGAGATCCGCTCCGCACAAGACAGCAACGGTCAGCGCGATCAATGCGACCAAGAGGTAATTTCTCGGATTCTTTATGTAGTGCCAAGGACAGGAGGTGATCTGCAGGAATTCTCGAGAAGCGAGGAACAACAGCAGCACGGCGGTGACAATCCACAGCAAGTTGGTCCACCAAGTCATGCCGTTCTCACAACTGACCTCCCATCTGTCGTTCCCGAAATTGTTATCAGTCGTGTCGTTTTTACATGATGAAACATTGTAGGCTCTGCTCAGAATGTAAGTGTTCAGTACGACGAAAAAAAGCACGTAGAAGATGAAGTTTGCAATCAAGAAGTGTCGTATTTTGTACCATTTGATATAGAGATAAGACGAGAGTAACGGATGCTTCAGCAGAGGTTTCATACTCTTGTGAGCAATTATGTACTTGAACAAGTCCATCTCGTGGCTTGTCCGGCACGCAATCGTCTGTGTTTTGTCGTCGTATTCCGAGTCATGCGGCATCAGACAACGATAGTCGACCTCGACTTTGTAGTCGTTCACGCATATCGGTGTTTCCGCGTTTGTATCATATGTCTGATCATCTTTCCTGCTCTTTCGTATTCGTAAACATTCATCAAAGTATTGCGACAACGTGCACGTAGAAATATCCGCGATCGGTGGTACGCCGTAATTATTTTGGTGACCGATGTAGCTTCCCCGCTCGAGGAGCAGAGACACCGCCTCGTGGCAATTCGCCCGAGCCGCGTGATGTAGCGGCGTATTGCCCTTGCCTGTAAAGTAAAAAGCATTGAGTAAGAAGTTTTTCAAAAAAAAAAAAACATTTATCATAAAAGATTAGAGAAAAGATCGCGTTGCTTTTTTACTTTTAAAATTCTTAAATATTTTAATATTTATATGACACTTCTCATATGTTATTTGCCTACTGTGTGAGACATGCTTGTTTTCTGTTTGTGTCGGCGATTACAGTTTGAATTTCATCCGTTTTTTAATTCTATAATTAAGAGTAAGTTTTTTAAACGAATTTTTTAATCTTTGACTTTATTAGAACTTTCGTAACTGATTTAATTTGATTCTGACTTTGTTTTTTCTGACTAAACTTATTCGGATTGGAAGGCAAGCGGGGCGGTTGCTCGCCAACAAGCGCCGTACGAATCGTACGGCCCGCTTGCCTTCCGATCCCCGCGTCTACTCTTCGAATTCCTAACGCGCTGTGTACATTGCAGTATCTATGTCTCTGTTTATCGTTTTATTCTTGCTGTCGGTTGCTGACTCACCTTAACGGTTTTTGAGTTGACTTGTCAATTTAGATGCGTATTTATTTATTTATTATTATTTTTGTATAATTCTCGGTCTTTAGAGGATAATTTCTATTATATTATAAAAACCATTTTTTGTATATAAACAGTTGCTGAAGATGATCAAATATACTGATCGAAACGTCCAACGTATATCACATGTAAACTATTAATTTTTTCTCTCCAATACCACCTTGGACTTAAGGCTCGTATGGTTTTATTTTCTTATTGTTTTAATATTTTTAAATATTTATATTTTGTCTATAGAGTGTCATTTTTTCATATTATTTATAATATTTATCGTAATATATATACTCACTGTCTATGCAACGAACGTTCACGTTTTCTTTCAGGATCAACTTCAGACACTCCAACCGATCGGAAGAGTTGTCTCCATGTTTCCCTGGCGTTCCTAGTTCCATACAGGCATACAGAATCAGATCTTTAGGGATCGTTTTAGCGACGTCGGGTTCCGCGCGCAGCAATTGTTCGAGGACAGCGGGATGACCCCGCTGAACAGCTATGGTTGCGGCTTCCTTCACACTGAATTGTCTTCCCTTTAGTTTCTTCAAGATCGCCGTCACGACCTCGTGAAAATTGTTGTCTGCGATTTTCTTCAGCAGATTTTCAGCCATGCCGTGAAGCACGTCCAGCTCGACGAGCTCCAAATCCCGTAGGAAATTTATCTTGTCGTTATTGTTTAGATGATGTATGAAAGTATACTCGTCTATTTCTCTGTGTTGGCCTTTGGGCGGCAACAATGGCACCAAATCTTGTAGCGTCTTCTCGATTATCTCCCGCGTCGTCTGATTCCTGAAGTCTTTGTACCTGTCCACGTCCAGACACTGCCGGCACTGTCTAAGTATCAACTCCGCCATTTCGCGATGGCCCATTCTTACCGCGTTGTGCAGAGCTGTCTGTTCCTTGCTGTCGGGAATACTGGCGCTGGCGCCTTTCTGCAGTAACATCGCAGCGCATGTCAGGTCTTTTTTCTTCACCGCGATGTGCAGAGCGGTTTGCTTACCCGCCTCGATATCCGGGTTGGTCGTTGGGTTCTCCAGCAAAGCCAACAATGTGCTCGTGTGTCCCGCTTCGACGGCAAAGTGAATAGGAGCGCGATTGTGTATCTTGTTCACTCTGTTGGGGTTCGCGCCTTTGAGCAGGAGAAACTCCACGAATTCTGTCAGGCCATTTCTGCTGGCGATGTCGAGACACGTTTCTTCCGCGTGATTAGGAAAAACGAAGTCGATGTCTAAAACAGGTGGCTGCTTCGCCAAGTTGTGATTTATTGTCTTCTCGAAGGAACGGAAGTCCTTTGACGTCAAAGTCTTCAGCAGAAGATCGTAGACGATTTTCTCGTTTTCCGGCGCAAGGTGAGAGACAACGTTCAGAAGAAGATCCTCTTGCACATCCTCGTAGTCCATCTTCGTGGCTGGCGATGGGGAATATTAAGTCGAAGTGAAATATAAACTAGAAATTAAATACATAGAGATGGATTTGTTAGATATCGGATCAAATTTTTGTGTTCGATCTGCTCGAAAAAGTGAATTGCGTAGCTTTTTATTTTGCTCTTCGTTCGTGCGTGAAGAGCTTCTCTTGTCAAACACACGTGTGCGGACACAGACAAATGGCGTGGTACAGGGTCGCTCGTGTGCGTGTGTTTCAACATTACTCGCGGAAACCCGTTTTGTTGCACGCGTGAATGTGGAGGGTCGCATGATTACGCTAATCGTGATCTCAGTAAAGTTTATTGAAACGCAAATTAAGCTCTTCGCTCGCAAACGTGTCGCAGAGACTATTACGTACTTTGTCCCTGCTAGTTTTTCGACACGTTTTCTCTCTTTTATCGCTGCGTACAATACACATCCAGATCAGGTTTCAATTATGGAATGCAATTTCTCAATTCTAATTATAGACGTTGAGTACTTATGACTCATTAGTCTTCCGACAATGGTGCGTATTGTGTATCGGTATAAACTTCCTGTCGATTAAAAATCAATTCGACGCTCGAAAAATCGTCGACAATGATGTGACTGTTAATACAATATGACAGCGTGCTATTATTTCTCTTATCTAACTAATCTCTTCTAATTTAACTTAATCTTTTTTGTCTTTGATCGAGATTAATCGTTATTGTTAAAGATGTCTCGATGTATGAAGAAATATTTTGTAAATGCTACGTGAAATATTGCGACTTATTTGTTCCATATGTAATCGATACGCAATAATTAACATTAATTATTAATTTATAGAACACGGTTCGTGAAAATCAACGAGACTGAGAAATTTTTTTTTTTCACCACGTGTGCGGAGCGACGGCGGTTCGCGACGCCATTTCGTCGGAGTGCACATTGAAGGCAATGTAATGCTCAAAGTAACACATATGTGAACACGTACATGTGTGTCACAAGTTCCAGCATCACGAGCGGACTGTGTAACGGAAACGTTTACTGTTGTACGAAAAAAATCGCGTCGATGTAATTTGAAGAAGAATACGAGTGCAACAGGTGGGGCACGTTAATGACAACTGTGCGCAATGCAGCGCAATTTCTTTTTGAAGTGTTTGTCATAAATTTTTATCACCATTTATTTAAAAGATGTGCGATTTGTTGCGCGCTCACGCAAAATTTATATAATTTTTAATAATAATTAAACAATCAGAGTCAATAAATAAATTTATCTACGCACCTTTTCAGGAAAGTTTTCTTTGATTGCACGTTTCTTCGCCGTGGATCTTTTTAAAGTCACCAAATCACCAATCCACGTAGAAATTTAACCAACCATTTTAGCAATAATCGCAATACCGCGTCGAAAAGCTGCGACGAGAGAGATCTTGTAAAAATCTCTACAGAAGAGGAAAGACTCGAGAAAAGTATCGGACCACTTGCGAATGGAACGCACTTGTACTCACTGGATACGTCACCGCGCTAATGAAGCAGCCCTCGGACAACTCGTCCGATCAAACGGCAACAGAGGAGGAGGAAGAGAGAGAGAGAGAGGAGATCGTTCACGATCATATATCCGACGTTCTCTCAGCTCGCAACAGTGCCTCTTTTCACGTCGGCATACAACGTCCAACCGGTTTTCTCATAAATATATAAGATCCTTTACACCTCGAGTAAAAAAAAAAAACTGTCATTAGTCGTGTGACATGAGTCGTGTAGAAAAATATACATTTCGTGATTTCGATGAAACATTTGGTTGTAGAATGACAAAATAATCGGGACAATCGAATGTCATTAAAAAAAAATTCACAGTTAATTCGTTTTTAATTTGTTCTTTATTCAAAGTTAAAGTTTTTTACGCAATGAAATAATGAATAGCAATACAACATTACATGTCAGCGCAAATATTTTCTAGACTTTTATTAAATTAGACTTTTTATGTGAATTTTTTTATCGATTTCTGAATTTGTCTCTACTAATGAGCTCTTTGTCTCCTATGTTCTCCTCTTCCGGTTTTTTATTCAAATCTTTTTTTATCAGCTTCCTTTCCGAATGAACAAAGTTTATCGTCGACTGTCGTTGAATTGAAAACCGAAGCGTCAGGTCTCAAGGTCTCGTTATTAGGTATCGAAAAAAGAGAATTCTTTTATTTCAATGACATTAAATTAGTTATATGGTAGTTAATAATTTTTTACATTGACGGAGTTAATTTCAATGACACTTTTAATTAGTTACATAATAGAGTTAATAAATTTTCTTTTTACAGAATACCGATTTCTGACATCAGATTCGATAACGTACGTACATTTATAACGACGTGTGTGTACACGTAACTGTCATCTCGGTTCTCCTCTTGGTCGCACACGATTTCGCAACCCACGCACCCCGCGACGTTCCCGCCGATCTTCATCCTTGACTTCTTCTTCGGACTAAAATCGGGAACTTACGTCATAGAGCGAATAACGTTACTCGAAAAAATCGTTCCTTGTTCAAGAAGCAAATACCTTAAACGATAAACTGATGATTCGTCACAGGCAGCAATTTTTTTCTGTCAACGGCATCTGCTGACTCGGACCACAATATTAAATAACGCGCAGTTTATATTCAAACACTCTCACCACTTTGTTTTATATACAAAAATTGCAATTTTGGCCGTAAGTATTAGCGTTGACAACCATTTTCGGTTTTTTCTTCGGAAGAGTAAATGTGATTTACGTGCTTTTATCTAAAATGTATGTAGATAACAAGTTGCGAGCACCGGCCCAGAATGGTCTCGCGGCAGAGGCTGCGAACAGAAAAATCCCGAGTTTCCTGAATCCATTCCTGAGGATTTTTCCGAGTCTCTTTATCGATCAATCAAATTTATCAATTGAAAGACAAACTGAATCCGACTTCCAATAATTAACTTGAGTGAAATCTCGAATCTTCAAATGTACCAGAAGTCATATAGAGATACAATATGGATATTTTTTGTTGCTCGGCTTGGCTACTTTCTGGATTACAGGCCGTCAAGTAAGGCCGAACATACTTTGAGTAGGTACACTTTCTGTTATTAAAAATAATTAAAAAAATTAATGTTCATTGTCTTAAAATTTAATTAAGACAAGTTTGGTCAATTGTTGTGTGAGTTTTTACAAACATGTTTCTAACGTTTTATTTGAGTTTTATATAATCTATGTTTTCACAATCTTGCACTAACGAATATTTGACAAACTTAAGTCAATATTTAAATAAATCTTGTGGTAAATTTTAGGTTTTCATCTTCTTTTTGCGCTCCTTCGCACATCGTTTGTGACAAACGTGTTCCGGCTTCTGCACGCGAGGTGGAAGCCGCTTGCAGGCGCCTGCGTCTTCTCTCGATCACCGCGGATTTCTGCAAAAGGTGGGGTAAGAGCGCGATTCCGGGAAACGAGCGCGTGTCGTGATACCTCGACGTTTACTCCTCACTTCTCAGTCGCACGTTGTCGCGTCTCAGGTGAGCATCCGTGCGAGCAGTCGCAGTCCAGGTGTTGAAGTCGCATCAGTGGCGATCGAGTCGGCGAACAAGATCAGCCGTTCCAGATTCTTCTTATCTCGACATCGATATCTCATCTTATCTCTCTCGTGTTATTCTTGTGAATTTGTCATCGGTAAGCATGTAAATCCTCTTGTAATCGTTCTTGTATGCGATACAACATAGCGAACGTAATGCTGACATTTTACGATTCTGCGCTCGCGCGTAATAATGTGAAAAACATGTGTCTCAAAGATTGAAAATGTACGTAACAAATTTGCACACATTTGAACGCGCGATCAAGATTTCATTGATAAAAGTTATTATGAAGAAAATTAAGATAATTAAGTTAAGAAAATTATGTAAACGCAGTATAGTAACAAGAAAATCTTGTTGAAGACAAATTGTCGATTGACAAGTGACAGTTAGTAGCTGTCGTAATGTCATCGAAGATGTGTCGGTACGTTATTAACCCTTTGAACTCCTCTGCGAGATTCGTCTGTATTGCACCGAGTTCAAAGGGCTCGAACGCCTATTACGCGCTCGACTATACACAGTAGAATTCAAAGACAGTTCGTTCAACTCCGACGTGTGTCTGTACATCGCGCTCTTCGATAGACATGTGTATCGATAAATAGATTGTACGTACATCACTTTTTAGAGAAGGAATAAAAAATGTGATAATTTTATTTTACTTTACAAACGTAATAATTTTTGTTGTTGTGTTATTTTTAAACATGATGTACGGTGTGGCGCTATTTTTATTGTTAGATATTCAAATTGTTTTCAAATGTGTGCAATACTTCTTTTATCAAAAGGAGTGCGGTACTCTCTCATCGCGTGAAGTATTGTAAGATTTTTATCGGGATGTTATATTTAAATATATTACGCTGTTGTTATTCTCTTGAAGACTGTAAAAGAGTAAAAAAGTGCGAGTAAAATACGCGATTGTCCTTTTTTACGCGAGGCATCTCAGCCTCACGGGATTCGCGCGCGCGCGCTTGTGGGTGTTTCTCAATCTTCTCCCTCCGATTTTGGGGCGACGTCACGGTTACGTTTGTATCGCTCTCATGTATCGGATTTGCCACTCTACTTTCATTCCCGTATTTGGTTAACGAAATGCCACGTTACTTACACGCACGTGTGTGCGGTGTACGCGCGTATTGATATGTATACAATCCGCGTTTCACCTCGATATGGATAATACGCTACGTAGCCGATACGCGCACACACACACACACACACACACACATGCGCGTACGGTTTTTGCCTTAAGTATACATACATATGATGTCATTTTCAGATATATATGTATAATGTGTGATGTAAATGGAAGAGCAATATTGCTCAACGTTATTTATATTTCTCCGTAAACATTTCTTCCTGCGTTGTATTTGATTAACGATCGCTAAACAATTCGCTGCAAAATTTCGTCAAGAAGAATTTTGAGACGAGCACACACAAAAAAGCGCAACGCACAATTTTATCTTCGTTCGCGGTCTATTTCTTTTTTTGTCTCGTCGCACGCGTATTTTGCATATTTGATTTGGACAATATTCCTTTTTCTATTTTGTTGGAATATTGTAATGATCGATGATGTAAGAAATTCGGCGTGTGCGAGTATGTATGAGTAATGCTCGCGTCTCCACCAAGCTTGACGATCATCAGTATAAATGGTCAATTGCAGAACACTTCATGCCACGAACATCAAATTCCGTATATAAATGTTTCTCGGAAGTTTTTCATTAATAATGACGCGCGAAATCTCGAATATTAGATCACGCAATCGTGATCTAATATCGAACATGAATTACGCTGTTGTCTATATTCGCATAGATTGCATCTTTAAAGATAGTTCTGTCTGGAAAATGAACGCGAGAAGATATATATACGTAACGTGTGTTTCAAAGATAAAAGATTTTAAAAAGCACGCATCGTGTTTCAACATTGTTTCAAAAAATTAGTACAAATAAGTTAATTTTTGTTTAATTCAATTGTAATTTTTTAAATTCATGCTTTTAATTAAGTTTTTAAATTAATTGTTTTACGTTTTCGAGAGAATGAATTTTAAATTTGAACTTTAACAAATACTTTTGCAAGTTGATAAAAATAATAAAAAAAAAAAAAAAAAAAACAAGAGAGAGAAAGTGTTCTAGAAAAAGATTGCGATAAAAATTGTACAAGTGTGATTGATTTTAAGTACAATGCACTCTATTATTACAATGATCGCGCGCGTCTCTTGCTTTGCATCTCAAATGGGTCATGAGTCATCAACGTCATCATTGTCGCCTATCGTGCATTTTGGCGCTTATGAAATTCTCGCTCTGTAACACGGATCTAAACTCGATCGACTCGTGCCCATCATGTACATGCTCTTATATGGTTCGCCATGAGTCGTTTCTGTGTGTGTGCGTGTGTGTATGTGTGTGTACGCGTGTGCCCCTCCGAGATTTCGAGGTCACCGTCATTGCATAATTCATGGACGTCGCTTGTACACGCGTCTTCTTGTTTACCGGAGAGAAACGCGGCTGTCTGAGTAATTTCGCGCGTCTGAGAAAAAAGAAACCGCAAAATGAGGTGCGTTTTAAAGAGCAGTTTAAATATTTCCGAGATGAAACGAACAATTTACCCTCTTGCGTTCGAGATATTTTTAAACTATCTTGTCTTGTTAGATTTGTAGATTTTAAAAAATATTGTAGAGAATGAATGTAATTATAGGACTCATATGCTTTTGTGACAGAAAAAAGAATAAAACATCCCTTCGAGCATCATGGTGGGAGTGACGCAGAGACCCTGGACACCTACGAAGAGGCGAGGCCCGATTGCCGCCGAATATAGCAGCCCGGGGCCGGCTTGTGTAACGTTGCCGCCATTAATCGGTAATAAATTATACGTATCTTTTGCAAAACTTGTTCAACGATCATCTGGTCGATCCAATTTATATAACGAGATCTAACAAGATTACACATTTTTAATATTTTCTATTCAGCCCGTTGTGCATGTGTATGTACGTGTACAACAAAATTAATTGAAGTTCAATTACCCGAACACAAAGTAGAACACTGTAATATAGGACGTCGTTAAAGTGTACTAATTACGTTCATTAGCCTCGCTGATTTGTCGTTAGTTGGTGAAAACGATAACAACGCAGCAATTTCTGTTTATTGCGGCACAGAAATTTTGCGGTCGCGAGTCGATAATTAGCGAATACTGTTCCGTCGCGATCTGCTTGATTGATCTTCCAATTACCACACATACATTTACGATTCATAAGCTGCACGCGTACCGCGGAAGCTCTGTAATTTAAGAAGCAACTGTATTTCCGCGCGGTAATAATAATGTCATCTTGCGATGTTTTTTTTTTTCAATGGCTTGTTTAAAAGCGGTTATGTAAAAGCACGTACTTTCTGAATTCTTCGACAAAATCGTGTGACGTATATATTGCGGCAAATTCGTTAATATAACACTTTGTGATATTTACACAGGAAAGACAGTTCCAGATTCGAAGCGAGAAAGAGCCCCTGCATTCTCTTTTGGCAGCAGGTAAAAATCCAACTCTAGTTTTATTAAAAATTGTTTTTATTGCAAATTTCTCCATTCGTGAACACTTTCATTTTCAGACACGAAACAAAGAACGTTAGTCCCGGCCCCGGTCCCGGACAGTACAATGTTTCTGGACTCAGCGCAAAAGGTAAACGTTGTTAAACAAAATTGAATATTTATTTTTGTACGTTTAAACACGTAAACATGTAAATGCATTATTTGTAAAAGTATACATTTTAAAGACGTATATTTATTATATTATTTAGAACATGCGCGCAAAAAGTATATATGCTGTGCCAACACACACACACACACACGCTATGCCTGTGTTACTTTTTTCTCATTATTTTTTTTATGATAAATAGACGATTTTTAATTATTGAACAAAATAAAGGCGCATAATTACGTTACGCGCGATTGCTTCGCGAACCTGCACGTTCCGTTGTATATGTGTCGGCTTGCGCGTATCGACCAAACTCCAAACTACCAATATAATTCCATAAGAATGATATACACTTTTAATGGTCGCTGTTCACGAAATTCCTTCGCTTTCTGCTTGAGTAGAATCAACGCGTCGCATAATCAATACAATGCAATTTCGATTGCTCGCGACCTAGTTGTGTACAGACATTACTACTTAATAATTGCGCTTCAGTTGCAATTTTTATTTGAGTGAAAAATTTGTAATTGTATAATTTTAAAATTTTGATAATTTTATTTAAACATTGATTTCTTTGTTTAATATCATATAAACTTAACCGAGTCAATTTTTTAACTTTAATTGTTTTCTTTTTTTTAATTTAAACTAAATGTACTTAGAAAATATGATAATTGTTATTACGATTGTTTGATGACGAAAAATATATCGACAACATATGTCACGGTGTTTGAATATCTGTAGGAAAGGATGCTGCACCTGCCTTGTCACTGCATGGTCGAACGAAAACAACGAAACCGGAAATCACGCCAGCGCCAGGCGACTATAATCCGCAAAAAGCGGAGAAAATCATTCTGGACAGCTCGCCGAAATATTCCTTCGGAGTTAAAACACAAGTCGAGAAAATCAGCTGTACTCCGGGTGAGTCTTTAAATAACATCATGTATATTTTTATTTTCTTTCAGAATATATATATATATATACAAGTTTTTGAATACCTACATAAAATATTTTTTTATTGCAATTAAAATCATTCCAAAAAACTTCTATTTATTTTGAAATTATTTTGTACAGACTAACTGTAGGTATTAAAATAGGAGAATAATAATGTTAGCAACAATTAAATACACTAATTAAACAATTCGTAATTTTGCGAAATAACTGCACACAGAGATTATCACAATAACCACTTAAAGATAATAGTCTTCATTAATTGAATCATCATAACAAAACGATAGAAGCACCACTTACGTCGTATTTGCCTCAATTTTGCAACAACGAAACATGAATCCTTACATCTCGTAGCACCGAGCAATTATTACGCTGAACTCGTGAAACTCTACACGGCGGCAGCGTTCACATTCGGCGTAAAATCCGTGTTGGAAAGATCGAACAATGTGCCCGGTAATTATGCAATTAATTAAGCATGGTTCCGAGCCTCTTGTGTGCTACTTACAATTATTGTCGGCAATTAATGAGAAATGCGTTCACGTTTTCCAACGTGATACTAAATAGAAAACAAACTCAGCATGCTGATCGCAAAATTGTGCATTAACGAAATATATATGTTTAACGACAGAAAAATTGCAAGATCAATTAATATTGTATACGTGTCTTAATTTGTGTTAGAAATAATTTTCTTTTGTTACACGAACAGTTAGTAAATTTTTTAATCGTAAAATAAATTCATAATTCAAAAACGTTTTTTCACATAACAATTATTTTAAAAATAAACTAAACCAATTTTAAATATCTCGCGAAATGATTGTTATATACATCACATTATTATTACATTTCGACGCAATGATGTTTAGGATAATCGATGCCATACCGCAGCTAGGACTCCATTTGGGAAATATTCGAAACTGTTACCGCGTCGAAGCGTCGCTGCTTAGGTACAAACGTTGTTTTTGACGATTTTTTTTTTTTTTTTTTTTT